GTAGGGAGGTAGCTCAGCTGGTAGAGTAGTGCTGGAATGTGGTAGTGCAGACTGTAATCCTCCCCGGGGAGGCAGAGGCAGGAGAATCACAAGTTTGAGGGAGGGGGATTATGAAGGGAAAGCGAGGGAGAATGGATAAACCAAAGGAAAATGACAGTTGTGCCAGTATCCGAAGAGCATTAAGGCCACACCAGGAAGGCCACTGAGATGGCTCGGTGGGTGAAGGTGCTGCCAAAGCTGATGACCTGAGTTCAGTATCTCCCACAAGTTGTCCTCTGACACCCCATGGCTGCCGTGGCATGCTAACAGTGGCCTCCAAACCTAAATAAACTCAGTAAAAACTTTTAAATCAACCTAGGTTAGAAACAACTTGGAACAAAGACTTGGAGGACATTAACTTCTGAAACATTATCCTAAGCAAGTTTACCCACTTCCAGCTGTGTTCTAACTCAAACAACTGCTAATCCTTTTCAAAGGATCTACTGTCCTCTCTTGCTAGGACCAAATGTCCACTACTGCTGCCACCCACACAGTCCACCATATTACCAAGTCCCATGGAGAAGAACATGGCAGTTTTACAATTACACCTTAGAACTTTAAAATAAAAAATATAAGTAACTGAGCACCATTACACTAGAATGAGGCTCAGTAAGAAAGCTAGTTTTTTCAGTTGGGAGGATGAGGAACAACCACAGACAAACGCACACCATAGCTGTTTAGCAGTCAGCATCCAAATCTAAGGGGATTTTGACTCAGGAAACTGTATTTTAGAAGGCTCTACAAAGATAAGCCATTAGGAATCTAGCAGAGGGTCGGCTGACTAGAAACAGCACAGAACTCAGCAGAGCCAAGGATGTGCTGTGCTCCTGCTTCTCTCTCAGAGCAACACCTTGTTCAACGGATGTGGCTTTCCTCTAGAGGCCAGGATTCCACTCTAAAGGGCTTTTGCCTTTTTTTTTTTTTGCCACCTAGCCAGGTGTTCCCACTGTCAGCTTCATCACATAGTACCAAGCACAGGGGCAGCATTTCCTGCCCAAAAAAAAAAAAAGCACCTTCTCTCAAAGAGCTTGGATCTCAGGTCTCCTTGGCCTCAATAGCACAGCTTACTGACCTTGCAAGCTTGTTTTTGGCAGCTTTCACAGAAGAGCTAGCTGCTCAGAAACTGTCAAGATAGCAGCCTTCCCTCTCCCCAGGCTGCTCGGACTGGGTGTCGCAGGCACTCTGAGCATTTAATGCACAGCTCTCCCCTGCATGTAGACTCTGACAATGCAAGCTTCCTCCTTCCCAGTGTGAAGTCAAATCCTGACTACAACTGGGCTGGAGAGATAGCTCAGCGGTTAAGAACATCTGGGCCTCTTCCAGAGGACCAAGTGCAGTTTCCAGCACTCGCATCAGCTTGATTACAACCACCTGTAACTCCAGAGGAAGCGGCACTCATTTTCTGGCCTTCCAAGGCACCCACTTTTGCATGAACACACTCCAACCCAGACACACCCACAGCCACACAACAACACACACACACCATACTCATTGTCACAAATAAACTGTTCTTAAAAATCAGACTAAGAGAAAGAGGGAAGGTAGGATTGGAAGGGAAAGAGGGAGGGGGCTACAGCTGGGATACAAAGTGAATAAACTGTAATTAATAAAAAAATAAATAAAATTTTAAAAATCAGACTAAGAAATAAAGCCATGGTTAAAACAATTTCACCACAGAAATCAGGGGAAAACTCTGAAGGGCACTTTGTTAAAATCAGGTCTCCAGAACTGGCAAGATGGCGGTGGGTAAAGGTGCTTACTGCCAAGTGTAACAACTGGAGTGTGATCCTGAAATCCGTAAGGTAGAAGAGAGCTAACAGCTGCCCTCAAACTTTAACAGACTAGCTGTGGCAAATTAATACCACACCAAAAACAAAACAAACAAACAAACAAAACAACAACAACAAAAAAAAAAAACGCCAAACCTCCAGTAAACAGCACACACCCAGAGTTAACTCAGCATCAAGACAAAGCACAACTGCAAGAACAAGCCACAGGTGCTGTCTCTCTTCCTGGCTGGCCGAATGAACGCCTGGTAAGTGCCAGGGCAAAGGGGAAGGCAGCAGTGAATGTCAAACTTACAAAGTCCAAGGAGACAAGTTCAGAATAAGAAATTTCAAAACTACTTCACAGATTTGACTCTTCATATGAAGACAATTCAGAACGCAGCATCCCAATCGTGAGTCATCAGCAACAGCTGTCTATGTGAACATCAAGGTTTAAAAATGGCTCCCAACACCGGGCATGGAGCCACAGGATTTCAATCCCAGCACTCTCGGGAGGCAGAGGCAGATCTCTGGGAGTTTGAGGCCAGCCTGGTCTACAAATTGAGTCCAAGACAGCCAGGGGCTACACAGAGAAACCCTGTCTTGAAAAAAAAAAAAGAAAGAAAGAAAGAAGGAAGGAAGGAAGGAAGGAAGGAAGGAAGGAAGGAAGGAAGGAAAGAAAGAAAGAAAGAAAGAAAGAAAGAAAGAAAGAAAGAAAGAAAGAAAGAAAGAAAGAAAGAAAGAAAGAAAAGACTGAAATCTGAAATTGAAATTGGCCCCCAACTGTTTCTCATCAGTGGACAATTCAATGCAAAAATAGAACTCAAGTCATGTAAGATTGGCCACTCTTGTAACGGACTTTGGATAGTTTACACAGCACCTAAAACTCAGTTCTCTGACGAAGGACAAAGTGAAAGGTGCCATGACATTTCAAGAATCAGGATAAGCCTGCCCAACCACTGTGACAGCAAATGCTCAAGATCCTCCATGCTGGGCAGGCAGGGACATTCCAGAGGAAATGTTATTTTCAGGTAATTTTATGTGCCGAGGAAATATGAGACCCACCTGCCGTGTGGCTTCTCGAATCCAGTCTTCCCCAATCTAAAGGCAGCTGTTGATCTGGAATGGCTGGTTCTCTAACACGCTGCAGGCTGGAAACTGGTATAGGGTACAGGACAAACCACCCAGTATACAAACTAGTACGAGAAAGGCATATGCTGGGCCTAGAAATTCACTTCATCTAACTTCATTTCTTTAAAAACAGCCCTGGGCCAGGCATGATGGTGCATGCCTGCAACTGCAGTGCCCAGGAGGTCGAGGCAGGAGAGTGACGAGTCTGAGACCAGTGCAGGCTATAAGAAATCCTGTGTCCACAGTTAATTTGGTCTGGAAGTCGGCAAATACCAGAATGATCTGAGGTGAGTCTGGATTCCCAAAACATACGTAAAACGCCAGAGTTGACTATACACCCATCTATAACTCCAACAGTAAGGACTGGGACACGGGTGGGGCCCTGACGCTCAGTGGCCAGCCAGCCTAGTTTAACTGGTGACTTTAAAGTCCAGCAGGAGACTGTTTCTAATAGAACTTCCAGGGAAGAACCAAGGCAAACCTGCCTTCTACCTCCACGCACTACTGGAGTTACCAAGAAGTGCACACACAGACAGCAAAGCCACCCGATGAACTGAAAGCAACTTTGGAACCAGTTCTTAATTACCAGAGAAACCAAGGCCTGAATTCTACACATCAAGAAAACTTTCAGATCAAGTTCAAAGTACTTTCTTGCCAGGGGTGGCACTGACTCACACCTGTAACCGCAGCACCCAGGAAGCTCGTCATGGATTTGAGGCCAGTCCAGGCTAAAGATATCATTACCTCAAAACAGACACACACATGCACACATGACCTTTCTTGCCATCAACTCATAAATCTACAAGAAACTATTCAGAAGGTCTCACAGTACCAATTGCTGAAATGATAAATGATTTAAGTCCAAGGCACTGAGAGACTTAAACCAAACAGGCTAAGCCCACAGTCCCCTAAAACCCTGATCACAGCCTCCATACCTTGGCCTGTGCTCCTCAAAGGAGAGAGAAAGGCTTCTTAGTAACTAAATGACAAGACAAGACCCTCCCAGGTTACCAGCAAGACCCTTACTGAGTGAACATCCAGTCAAGTCTCAGGAGTGTCAAGGCTTTTATCACCAGCCGGGCTTCCAAGTCTCCCACAGAGCCTAAGCTTATGTAAACACAGATCTGATTCACTGGCGACCTGCGACCAACCTCCAGCAGAAACCTTGTTCCTTTGTCCAAAAAATACTTACTGAGCTGTACCTTCTGTACCCAGCACTGCGACTCACGGCCTTCAGCAAGGAAAGTTATGAAAGCCAGGCCGAGTCTCAGGGCAGTTCTCTTCCCCACTGCATCCCGACCCCACCCCAGAATCTGACAGGCCTGGTCTGCAGCCACCAAATACCAACCACTGTCCCAGCAGAGGGATGCTGTAATCCTAGCCTGATTAATTTTGTCAGGATAAGTAACACACAGACACTAAAAACGAACCTAGTTAAGAACATTAATTCTCGGGCTGGAGAGACAGCTCAGAGGTTAAGAGCACTGTCTGCTCTTCCAGAGGTCCTGAGTTCAATTCCCAGCAACTACATGGTGGCTCACAACCATCTATAATAGGATCTGGGGCCCTCTTCTGTCATGCAAATGTACATACAAATAGAGCACGCATATGTAAAATAAAGAAATAAATCTTTCAAAAAAAAAAAAAAAAGAACATTAATTCTCTACTTACTATGTGGATTCAAATTACAAGGGAAGGAGCACAGGTAGGAACAGCGCCTAACACTACCAAGTCTCACCGACTGGTATTTTAAGTATGAGCAAAAGCAGCACAGGCGACACTCAGTGGACAGTAGGTATGAGAACATTCAACACCCACTGTTGAGTCCTACACACAGTAATTGCTTTAGGTTTAAAAGTCACAATTAACTAACACTCCAGTTGGATAGGTGGAATGGTGACGATTGTGCCTGCCTCTGATGATACGTATGACTGTCACCACTCAAGCAAACATTCATTTCCTTCTGTTTCTATCAAACCGGGTATTTCCATGTGGTGGAAACATCACCTGACTTCAGGAACCCTTTCAAAAGCAGATTCAACACAGCAGCACAAAGTCCAGTCAGAAGTTGCACATAAAGGGTTTATTTTGAATGTTTTAAGGAAGGATAGAGTTACATCATAATTATAAAAATTACTTACAGAATTAACAGAGTTGTACTGTGTATACTTCTAAATGCAGAGAACAGGAAACTGTCTACACGTTGTATAAAATAAAATTAAAAATGAATTCAAGCTCAAAAAATGAGGTCGTTTATCTAGTTTTAAATGTGAACACGAAGACCTCTGAACTCTACTCAATCATTCGAACTGCACCAATGATGGAGAATACAGAGAGCGCAGCATTCCCAAGGAACACAGACATTTCAACCGTAATTATTGTCTTGAGTGTTTTCCTGTGTCATCTTTGGAGGACTTTTGATCCCTTACACAATCAGCGTTAAGTGTTTTCAGGCACTACAACTTGTGACGATCACAAAAGTTTTCTTTCTAATGGGTCTACCGTGTTCAGAGATTCGGGCCCAATGCACTTCGGGGTTTGGCACATAAAACAAGAATAGAAAGGAAATCTGGCTTAGAAGCAACTGTGATCTTTAGAGCGTGCACAGTCCCTTCGAATGCTGCGTGACATATACAACTGGAATCACCTTCTGTCGGCGCTACGACTGCTTCACCAGTGCGTCTTTACCCTACAACCACTAAACAGCACAGTAAGCAAATATACAGGAAACCAAAAGCAAATAGAAAGAAATAAAGAAAGAACCTAAGTCTCTTTAACATGCAATTTTAGTTAGTTACATTGAACATTCTACTTAGAAGAGAGCATGCAAAAATGGATGGTCTGCTTTAAGGTTCTTCTCTGAAGTTTACGTGGCAGCCTGACGTCACACACGCACGCACACACGATACGATACTAGAGCAGGTAAGTGAGGAAGGCCAATAAATTTTATACACAGATTCATGTCTTGTGTTGCCACAAGCCCCATGGTAATTTTGGAAATTAATGCTGAACTCCTAAATGAGGAATCAACATTCAGATACCAGAACAATGCAAGCAATGCATGCAGATCTGAACCGTGAGCCTAAGGGAAGCCCAAGGTGGCAGGCTCAGGACAAGAGTCAGTCACCATTAAGGGTGGTGGAAGTCACCAAAAGAAAAGAGTAGGGCGAGGGGTGGAAAAACAATTAAGATACAAACGAACAAATAAAAACCTTCCCCTTCCCTCAGCCTTCCGTAAAGGTAATAAATGGAATAGTGATCAAGGTCATCATCGCCATCATGTTGCATTCCTCCAGGCCGGGAGTTCATGGGTAGCCAAAGTAACCTGGGTTGCTTGCAGAAAACCACAATGCAAGTCATCAGATAATGGCAGACATGTTTCAATTGATCCAGCCCTTGGGACATTTCTAAAGGAATTTTACTGTCCAGTCACTGTGCCATGCTCTGCACTGTCGGTGTAGGCAGGACACACCTACCTACTTGTGCCACAGATGTCAGTCACATGGGCTCTGAGATTTACATGCAGATCAACACCTGCTGACATACACTGGAAGCACCAAAGACTGGGGTATATCACACTACACTGAGAAGCTTGTCCCTGGGTGCCTATGAGAAAACAGCGAGCACAGGGTGATTGCAGCCAGGGACAGAACTGAGGTACTGTGTTCACATGGTGAGCAGTTGTGACCATTCAGAAGTGTAAGGCGTTCAGCCTCTGTGGAGACTAAATGGATATCCAAGTACCATGTGCCTTAAACCACAGAATGATTTCTTGCATCAGGAAGAGCCCCAACAAGGTAAGCACACCTACACTTGGCCAAGTCTATGGGGTTTGCTTGACAATATCCAAATTTGCCCAGCCACAAAAAGGATTTCCAACCTCAAGAAGACTGGTCCCAGCTGACAAGTTACCAGGGTTCTTCCAAAACAAAGTGAGAGCAAGCAGATGTTTGGCTAGTCACCAACCACATTTTCAGTTCTATCTTAGCTTCAAACAACCTTCCAGGAACAAACCATTTGAATGTACTGTATGGTGAAGAGCTGCTATCCACCCATAACCAGCAAGGATGACTGAGCCTTCCACAGTGACACATCACAGACATGCAGAGCCCAACAGGGCCACGGAGGAATGAACCTGCATGAATAGCACACCTGGAGCAGGAGTAGGCACTGCCACAACAGGATCAAGGCAGGAAGCCATATTTGTCCAACATTCTCTGTGGGGGGAAAAAGCCAGGAGTTGTGGGAACAGGTAAGGAAGGGGAGAAGAGGCCTTCTGACCATAATCGTGGTGTATCAACAATAACAGTAACAAAAATTAAAAGTCCCAGAGAACTTGATAGAAGGCAACAATGCCATATTTAAAACTTACATTTCAATACAAATGTACTGTTCTTGCAGGAATTTACCACATATAAAAACCACTGATGTGTTGTTGCCTTTTATATCCATGTACTAACATCCTGATGACCAGTGTGTACAAATGGACCAATGTGCCATCTAAAAGCACATCTATACTATTTGTGTGAACCAAGGCCCTGGGCTTTATTTTAAAAGTACTTATGACTAAAGAGTAAACAACAACAAAAAACAAACAACAATAACAAAAATCACAGAAAACAAAGCTTAGAATAGAAGGCAGCCTTTTACCCAGATTTCTCAACAGTTTTCTAAATTCTACTGTGGGTTGTTGACTGTTTATGGCTAATTTGTACCTGGACTCATAGCTAAAAGCCTCCAGACTGAAATGGTACTCTGAAATTCTGACTTCTGAAACAACCTAATGTCCCTGTGTGCTTCCTGTGCCCAATATTAATTTTAAACAAAGAGCAGGCATATTATAAATATGACTGACTTGGGTCAAGCACTCCTGTTGAACTGGAGAAAACATTATCACCCCCCACCCCAATCCATAAGGAAAGGAGTGCCAGTGGTGAGCGCCTGTGTGTGTGTATAATATATACATAGGCACACAGATGCAGATCTAGACAGGTAGCTATATAGATACAGAATCTCTCAAAAAAGGCAGTAACAAAAATAACAAACTATGCTTGCATTGTGGCAGCAGAATAAGACAGTGTCAGAGTGAAGGGGAAAATGGTTACAACCTATCCAGATTTAAATGACTATGATAGTAGCTTAACTTTTACCACCTTGCTTATAACCCCCAACAGACAGCCTTCTTGTAAGAGGGAGGATCCCCTCACACAGATGCTTTGAAGAGGAAGGACTCCCCTCACAGATGCTCTGAAGAGGAAGGACTCCCTCAGATGCCTTGTGTTCGAATCAGTCTGCACTATTCAGAACAACACCAGCTCTGCTGGTGGAGATTGTGGGTTCGCAGGGACATCTAAGCTTTCATTAAACTGGAAAGCAATCAAGTCTTTATGTCTACAAATTATACATTTAATAGTTCCACAAATTTGGCAAAGTTTGTGATGACATCTAGGATGTTTTCACCAAATCGTAGACGTAAATATGGAAGTCATCATCAAACTTGATGAAATAGACAGAGGGTTTGGCCTCTACTTGATGGATGACCATGCCAGTCCTTTTCGAGCCATCTTCTTTGGCATATTCCACTTGCTTGCCTACCAGGCTGTCCACAACTTCACCTGGCTCCCTCTCTGCTGGAGGCGAATCATCTATATTTAAAAGAAAAAAAAAAATCAATCACTATTCAGATACGTCACTACCACATTTAGCAGCAAATATAAAGACTTTAAGATAGCCTGAGTTCATCATGATCTGGTCAAGTTAACACTTTTTTTTTTTTTTAAGGATTTATTTATTTATTATGTATATAGTGTTCTGTCTGCATGTACACCTGCATGCCAGAAGAGGGCATCAGATTTAATTATATATGGTTGTGAGCCACCATGTGGTTGCTGGGGATTGAACTCAGGACCTCTGGAAGAGCAGCTAGTGCTCTTAGCCTCTGAGCCATCTCTCCAGCCCAGTTAACATTTTCTTAAAGGGCCACTCTGTAAATATTTCAGGCACATGGTCAATGTCACAGTCCCTCATCTATAAGAATACAGTTCCATAGTGGCCAAGCGCAGTCCAGAAGTTAATGCCAAGATGAACTTTAGCAAAATATTACTCAAATGGTTTGCTGAACCTCATCCAGGCAGATATGAGTGATTTAAAAATTACAACCCAAGCTCTCTGGGATCATATTAAATTAACCTGAAATGGCTCTGCCACAGACTTTCCTACAGGGCTTCCTGAGAACATGCTGTTCATGCCCAGTGTTGAGGTGTCACTAGGGTTCACCTGGGAGTCTTCCCCTCCTCAACCTCAAAGCATCCAACCGTCTCCTACCCAGTTCAGAATAAAGGAAGTAAATTCTCCATGTTTTATAAGCAAGCAGGAGGTGAACTCCACAGAGAGCAGGAAAAAGAAAGGCAGATCCCTGAGGACGGCCCATTCACAGGAGCCCCAGGTTGCAATTGCCCCTGGGAAAGTACAAATGACAACAAGCCACCACTACCCAAAACAAAACAAAGTGTGGTAGGACTGAGAGCAGTCACAAGACTATTTTAAAGCTATTCCTGGAGGGGCAGAGAGGCTGCATGGTGGCCAGATGTCTCAGACACACAAAACAGCTTCTGAGGCCTCGGCACAAGTGGAAGCACAGAAGTTTACTAGCACAGCTTCCCAGTGGCTCATTAACAACCCTGACCTCCGACTATACCAGGTCTCCCACTCAGTGACAATCTGAAACCCACTACAGTGATCTCTGGTACGAGCACACACAATACAAACTGAATGCCAGCAAATGATCAGCTCTTTTAAACCAGAAAGTCGAAAGAAAAAAACTTTTCCTCAAAAATTCTCTTTCCTCAGGCAGCACTGTCTTATTACCACACACTTGCACAGAAACTCCTGAGTTTATCAAGGAATTTCAAATGCACAATCCCCACCTGATCTGACAGAAACTCCTACTGAGTCTTACTTAGCGAACAAAAGAACTGGCCTCAAACCATGATGATGAGGCTGCTTCAGAGCTATCAGAACGTCAGTCAGCACTATTCTAACGGGAGAGAAACTTCCACACAGCTGACAGGAAATTGAGAAGCTTGGAAAGGTATGCAAGGATCATGAAGTGGTTGGAAAAGTTGCAGCATTATGAGTGAAGAACTTCTACGTCTATTCTCAGCTCAACAGCACTTGTTTTGACGGACATTTCAGGCTGGAGAATGCTTTTAAAGAACACTCTTTGGAACATAATCCTAAAGTACATAAACAATGTCCTTTGTAAATATGAGCAAAAACTTTTTAAAAAATTAAGTAATCATTCCAGGCTAGATAATTTCATCAGTAGGTCCCCTTAACTGGCTTCTTCATAGGAAAAACTTTTTTTAAAAGGTTGAAAAGAAATGTCTGTCATACTGCTAACAGTCTCTGCTACCCACAATGTCAGGTCAAGGGTCCATGTGTCTAAGAAAGAGTCTTTTTAGAACAGGTTTAGCTTGATGTGGTTTTTCATGCCCACAGTTCCAGCACTCAGGAGGCTGGGGTAGGGAAATATGAGTTTTAACAGCTTGGCTAAATAGCAAGACACTGTTTCAAAATAAAACAAATACTAATTATTGAATAAACAGCCTCATCCAAAAAAAATCACATAAAAAAACAATTCTATTTATGATAGCTTTAAAAAAAGTCTTGGGGCAAAAGAAAGAAAATGTTTAGACTCTGAAAACTACAAAACGTTCTTAAAAATATCACGGATCTCAAAACTTCCCAAAGAAGCCTCAGTCACAGACTGAAGACTTGCTAACACTTGTTAACAGGAGGGGGCGGCATACTCTGCAGACACACAGCAACACTGTCAGAATCCCAGCAGACCTCTTTAGGGAAATTCATATGCAATTGCAAGGGACTCAGAACAGCCAAGGCAGCCCTGGGATGAACATGGGAGGAAGTCTCACACTTCTGATTTCAATACTTACTACAAAGCAATGTAATGAAGACAGTGTGGGAGCTGCAATGACAGACATAGAAACAGGTGAACACAACTGTGGTCCAGACACATTCACTTATCCACAGCCAACTGATTTTCAACAAGGTGCCAAAACCATTCTATGGAGGAAAAAATAGTCTTTTCAACTCATGCTGCTTAGTCATATGGAGAGCTACATGAAAAAGTGAGTTAACCTCTACTCTGACCTCACGCTATACCACAGTAATTAAAAAATATATCCAACGATAAAACATTTAAAAGAAAAAAAAAGGTCTAAAGTTATGATCTTGAATTTGGCGATTCCAGAGACACCAAAAGCTCAAGCAACAAAAGAAACAGATGAACTGGACCCGAAAGTTAAAAATTTAAGTATCAAAGATCATCAAAGAAGTAAAAAGACAGATGAAATGGCAGTGCACACCTGTCAGCACGGCATGGGAGGGCGGGGGTGGGATGGGAAGGGACAGGATGGTTAAGGGACCAGTGTAGTAGTTTGAGGCCAGTTTGGATACTTCAATGTCATGCCAAGTGTTTTAGCACACAGAAGAACATCAATCAATCTGATAAAAAACTTGTATTTAGAATGCTGGCTCTTCACAATCACTTCACCAGAGATATACAAATATCCAGTAAGCACACAAAAAGATCCCTGTGACATCAGTGGTCACCAGGGAAACACAAAATAAAGCACAACAGGAAACTACGTACCTCATCCTCACTAGAACACTCAGAATGAGATTTAAAACATCCACATGCAGGTGAGGGTATGAGAACAGACCCTCACCCACTGTTCAAGGCAGTGTGCAGAGTACAGTCCAGCAATGAAACCTGGAGTTGCCACCAAGACGCAGCAATCCCACTTCAAAGTGCACATTTTAAGGAAAAATTAAAAACCAACACCCAGAGGGAATCTCAGGTCCAAGTGTTTATAAAATACACAAAAAGAAACTGTCCTATGTTTAAAGGGGCACATTTCTGTTAATCCCAGCAACTAAAGCCTGTGGCAGGAGGATGAAGTTCAAGGCCAACCTCTGTTTCATGACCATCTCAAAGAACAAAGAGCAAGTTTTGCAAAACCACGTCACTGCCCCCTTTTTCCACTTTTCTGTAATCTGGCTGCTACTGAAAGTTCTCTCCTAGTTCAGTGTTTGTTTTTGTGGTGCTAGAAATGCAACACAGGGTTTCCTGGGGGCTTTGCAAGCCCCCTCTCTAGCACCAAGTTTTGCTGTAAGCCTATAAATAACTGGTTTTCTGAAACCAATATTCTTGGAAGTTCAATAATCACAGATTAAATTATCACTGTCAATGACCAGCTTCAAAATAAATCATCTGGGAAAAAAATAGGGAAAACTAGACTTACAATGAGCTACTAAAAATAAGGAAGTGTATTTATTTTATTCCCTCCATAGCTGCATACTTTCCATTAATAAAAAAATTTCATTCAAATTTTCTAAAAATTTAAAATAACCTTTCCAATTGATCAATTATCTAAAATCCACAAAGAAAAAATTGACTGTATTTGTACACAAAAGAAGACCCAAATACCCCAAAACATACCTGCAAAGCTGTTACTTGAGTACTTTAATTAAAATACAAATTCCTTTCAAATGACCCAAGCCAAAAGCTGTTGGTGTATCAGACTTACTGGAATCGGGCATGATGCGGAGGTCGCCTTCTTTGTAATCATCTAGCAGCTGGTACATGTACAAGACAGGGTCTTTCTCATAGGTGATGTAAAACCATGTGTTCATGACAGGTGCCCGTGCCAAGACCATCCCCCTCCACTCATCCTTAGAGCCATCCTCTGTTTCAAACATGTGCTCCACTGCTTTGCCAATCATTGTGTCCGCTAAGTGTGCATCACTGATCCGAGATGTTGCTGGAATTAAATAGGAGCAAGTGTTTACCAACAAGACTCAACTCACCAAAAGAGACCGAGCTTTGCCCATGTGATACATCAGTGAACATGAAAGTGGCCAAGGGATCCAAGAAGAGCAACACCAAACCAAATGCCAGGTCTAGCACAGCGGTGGATTGGATTAAACAGGACGATCTGGCCCACAGTGGAGAATAACCGGTTTTGTTACTTTCTGGCCTCAGTTGCTCAGTATTATACCTAAACCACAAGACATAAGTGGTTTTTCTATTGCTTACTTAGCAGTTCCTTTAAGCTCCAAGTCAGACACACAGGTAGGCAAGAAGAGCAGAGGGGACCCCCCCCACACACACACACACGCTACCCATTCCTAGTAACATGTCCTGAAGTCTGCTGAGCTCTCCATGTGCCCACTCATCCTCACACACATAAAACAAACAAACAAAAAACCTTTAGCCTAATATATGTTAGTTAATGCTTTAAAAGAAGCTGCAAGTTCACTTCCAGTTACTTTATTTTTATGTTCTGGGAACAGTTACTCACTCTCACGCCTACAAATGATCGTCTATAGCAACCAGAGTGACTACTGTGGTCTCTACAGAAAACTGACACTTAAAATGACCCCATCCTTCAGCCCCTCAATCTCTTCTCAACTTGAAGCAGGCCCAGTCCACCCAGACAAAGTTCTTTCCCTCTTCAGGGGCAGGTTATTTCCACAGCAAGGTCCTTAGAGCACGCCAGGACCAGCAGGGAGTGACTCCCCCCCTCCCCCATCATGTGCTGTTCTTAATTAACAGTCCTCTCACTTAAAGCTGCTGACTGAAAGCATCTGGATAGCCCTCTCTCTGCTAGCAGTTTCTGTGTGATGTCAGGACACAGCTCAAGGCCAGCCCTAGATCTACTCTGTCATTCCTGTAAGAAACAGGTGAAGAATTGCCAGGCTGTGTGCTGCTTTCAACACTGAACAGATCATAAGTGTGTCTCTCCAGTCTAGACAATGGTCTCTCAAACTTGTCAGTTCTTTCTAGTCATCCATCCAGTTTCTCCATTAAATTCAAATGGAGAGGTTCGATTTTCTTGGCAAATACACTGCTACTCAATATATTCACAACACACAACCTGCTCCCGGGGTTACACGTTCAAGAGCAATCAGAAAGGACACTAATCTCTCCTACACAACATTTAAAACATACAGAAACACACACAAGCACAAACAATGGCTTCTTCAAGCCAGAAATCAATGAAAACTTAGTGAAAGTGAAATGAGCTCACATTCTCGCAGATCTTACTGTCGAATTAAAAGTGTTTAAAACAGTATTAACGTATGTGGATGTGGATGTGGTTAGGGGCCAGGAAAGCGTGGGAAGATCCCTTGCAGCCGTTGATAGGCATCACTGGATGTCTCTCCTGTTCAGTAGGTGCTGAGCTACCTGTGGTCCTCTCAAATGCTCAGCCAGCATTCCTAAGTCCTAAGCCATCTCTCCAACTCCCTTAATGTATGGTTTTTTAAAACAACTTCATTTAAGCTATCGTACTTTCATTATATGAAATCCAGCCCCACAATGATCTGATGTTGAAAAAAAATAATTCTGAGTTTTTTCACCCAGATAAGTCTACATGTTCATCTGATATTACAAATTATACAAGCAGTAATTCTTTAATGGTCACTTGCAACACAGTGTGGACCAATTACCATTAAACTCTTGAAACTCACAACCCTGAGTCTAACAACTCCTCAACCACAACCATCACATCAACACCCTCCTGATACAAAATGAAAGAACTTGAAGGAACATTTCCTCAAAGATGATTACAGGTGGCTGACAAGCAGGCAGGGACACTCCTTGTTAACTGCATACCCTTATACTTCCAGACAGCTACTACAAACCAGAAAGCACAAAGTAATGCTGGCAGAGATGGGAGCAAACCCCCTGTGCACTGCCCGTGGGGCTGTAAGATGGTCAACAATGCAGGCAACACTGTGGCAGTCCCACTGAGAACACCAACTAGAAGACTCCATGATCAGGCAAAACCACTTTCTTGTTTCCAAAAGAACAGTGACATTTCAGCAGAGGCACATCCAGAGCAGCTTCCGACATGGAAGAGGTCACAGATAAACAACAAAGGGTACCTATCAGAGTAGGACTTTCAGCGCTGAAGGGAAGGCAGTCCTGCCAAGTGCTACTCTGTGGCTAAACCTTGAATGCATGACACCAGATGAAATGAGTTAGTCACAGCAAAACCAATTTTCTATGACACCATTTACAGAGTATGTATCCAGAGTACCCAAAGTCCTAAAGACAAGACCAGTGGGCTCTAGGGGCTACAGGGAGAACAATTATAGAACCTCACGTCTGCAAGAGGAATAGGTTCTGGAGATGTTCCACACTTTAACATGCTAGCACTAAACACTGCACACCCACAGGATGATCGGAACAATAAAATCTGCACTGTTTTCGCTGAAATGTTTCACACTGCCCACCTTGCCCTCTGAGTGGATCTTTATCAATCTTGATCATGCTTGGCTCGCACACACAGACCTTTCTAACAGACAGAGGGAACTGTCTGGCAACTGAAAAAAATGAGAATGAGAGGGACAAATTCTTATCTTAGCGTTAGGAAAGTAACAGGCTTGGGGCCTTAAGGGTCCCCAGACCTTGCCTTGGGAACCACTGATGTCTTTATACATGCTTCAGCTGGCTTTTTCTCCCTTTCTAGTATCACTATAATTACAGTTCAACATATACACTGGAATGAGCTAGAAGACTGTTTCCTCGACAGAACCCAAAAAGCAAGTAGCTCTCTAGATTCTTACTCTCATAGCAAGCACTAAAGTTAAGATTTAAGTGTCTAGCCAAGGATGGTTGTCTGTACTTATAATCCTAGCCCCTCCAGAGCCTGAGGTAGGAAGATAGCCATGAGCTATGAGCCAGCCAGACAAAAGAGAACCTTACTTACAACTACTTACTAACTGTATCAGACACACAGACACATAGTATCTTGCGGATCTGAACCATCATCTGGATTTCTCTTTTCAAATTTAGTTTACAACCATAACCCATGTCCTCCGACTGACACTAGACAACAAAACTATAAAGAACACGTGCCGCCCTCGATGACACCAGCCAGGCGTGCTCACATGGTCTGCCCCTCTCCTATGAAGAATCAGACCCAGACTAAAATCCTTGGTCCAAAGAAGCATCTCAAAACCCCTCAATCACACTGAACACAACTGAAGCGCAGTGATTGCAGTTTTCTAAGGTGCTAGTAAGACTTTAACACCTGTGTCACCAGTGGGAGGCATGACCTCAGTCAAAAGTATAAGATACACACTCAAGAACTCAGTCATATGAGAAGAGCTGGGGATAGGTGAGTGGCATATACCCATCACCCCAGCTTGTCAGTAAGGAAGCTGAGACAGGAGGACAGCTTGAGCTTGTAAGTTGGAGACCACTCTGGGTAAGGCTCAAGTAAGCTATAGTTCTGCCCTAGATGAGGGTATAGCCTTTTGTGACATCCTGTCTCAAAAAAAGTTGAAAATGTAAAACTTTGTGAAAATGGAACGGTGCTTTACTGGAACAAAAAGACTTTGCAGATCTGTGGGGCTTAATTTTCATATGACACAAAGCCTTAAAGACAATTCTGGAAGAAAACAAATCAGTATTTTAAGATGTAGTAGTTAATAGCAGTATAACGTTTTGGAACATATACTTAAGTAACATTTACTTACCCTACTTAAAACTGCCATCAATAATCACTACTTTTAGCTTACTTTGTTCCTCAAGGAACATTTATAAGGCTAAACTGAGACCACATGACAGAACATCAAAGCTTTCTACTTCTAAAACTTCCTAAAAAATGGACAGAGCTTCTCATCCTGGATGCTTACTCTGCAGTTCCAAGTACATTCGTAACAGACAACGAGCAAAACCAACCTAAGAGTTCCTGAACCAGAAAGTTAATGCACACCGTGTCAGTGAGCCAATGCTGATCACTAACAAGACTGGAAAACCTCTAGGTCAAAGATTTAGCTTCCTATCCTTCACCAGGCCTTGAATGTGGTTTCAGAACATCTACTCATCAGTGGTATTGTGTCTGTAAATGACAAATGTTTACCAGAGATGCTAGAGGTCTGATACAAGTTAAAGCACTAATAGACTCAAAAAAGCATTTAATTACCACTTTTAAAAATAACTATTTTTAAAATAAGAAGTTTAAACACTTACCAACTCTATCAGGGAGGACTTCAAGTGCAGACACTCTTTCATCTTTATTAAGTTCTAGTCCATAAACACAGTCAAATCCATCATACTTTATAAGATACAGGGAAGGATTCACAGGCACCTGGTCCAAGACAGTCCCCTTCCACTGGGTGACAGGGCCGTTGCCCTCTCTCCATCCATGCTGGATCCTGCATCCTACGATGTTTCGCCGGGGCTGGGACACAGGTTTGCTTGGTCCCACACTGGTCCGATGTTTTCTGCATTCACACATACAATGTATTACTTTCACAAGTATGCATATCTGGACACAATATAACTACTAGCTTGCAGGTTCTTCAATATACATGACCCTAAGGCATGGACAAAACCTACTAGTGAGCCAGAAGAATTCCAAGTTTGAGGCCAGCCTGGGCTGCACAGCAAAAGCTGTTTCAAAAACAAAGGCCTAAAGAGATGCCTCAGTAAGTAAGGGCATTTGCTGATCTTGCAGATGACCCAAGTTTGGTTTCTAGCACCCATATGGTATTTTATAACTGCCTGTATTCAGTTCCAACACCCTTTCCTGGTCTCCTCAGGCATCTAGCATGCATGCAGTGCACATCCATGTATGACAGAGGCACTCACAAACACATTAATAAAAGTATTTTACTCCTCCTTATGCCCTGGTAACCTTAAAATAAACGAACTGTAACTGAGTTGAACTGTGTGTGCATGCACTTCAATTCTCTAAGAAGGACAATTTCCTCACACTGCATGTTTAATTTCTCACAAGCACATTTTAATAGTTTATAACAAATAATTTAAAATTTTAAAAATATTACAGCAACATCAAACTATGGTGTTTCTGTACTACTACTGATTGAAATGTTTACACAAAATGCTAATGTTCTAGCTATCTGTGTGTGCACACACATGCACATACAATGGTATGTGTGTCCATGCAGAGGCCAGAGGTTGCTGTCAGGCGTCCCCCCCCAAACCTTTTTTTTTCAAAGCAGGGTCTCTCACTGAATCTGGAACTTTGTATTTAGGCTAGACTGGCTGGCCAATGAGTTCCTGGGATCCACCCATCTCTGCCTCTGCCACAAAGTTCTGAAGTTACAGACAATGCCCCACCTGAGGACCCAAACTCAGTTCCTTATGCTCATTCAAAACGCACTTTACCCCTCAGTCATCTCCCAGTCCTCCATCCTGGCTCCTGATGGAGGGAGAGAGCACTTTGAAACACAAGGACAAGGGATAAGACTTGGCTTGGATGTAACCTGGGCTAAACCAACTTGTCAGATGCTACTATGAGCCAAGAGCAAAGCAGAGCTGAAGGTTTCCTTCCCATTTTATAAGTATACATTACAATCACAAGTAATTTCTTAAAATAAGAAACCAAAAAAACCCTGTAGTTACAGTAGTTAAAGCTACAGAAATGTAATGTTCAAAGGCCCCTAGCCATGTCAGAGGTCCTAGAAAGAATGCTTCGTGCATATATGAGAATGGACATCAGAGCCAGTGAGCACTGGACTCAGCTGAGGGAAAGCGGGGGACTGGGACAGGGAGTGAGGCTCAGTGCAGCACTGCAGACCAGACACCTCCATACTCCTCACCCCAGAACCTTTTGGAAAAGCAGACCACCTTCCTCTGAGGGAGAATCATGCCCCCAGGGCACCCCACTTGGGTATGAAAGCCTAACTAAGCAGGGTATGATTAGAGCCAGGAAATAAGGAAAGCCCAGAAGCAGTTCTGGAAAAACACATACACAGAGAGTAGACACACGTGGCTGAACGAAGAGCCTTGTTTTAAATATGCCACATGGGCAGAGCTGAGGAAGCAGGGGAAACCCGAGGTCAAGAAAGGGCAACTGTTTATCTTCTTCACTCCCCTCCAGCCCTGGAATCCTGCTGGACAACATATAAGAGTACCTTAAGGAGAAAAAAAACGAATGTTCCTGACTGAGGTGTGACAGGAGCAGAGGCTGGCCAGGAAAATACATCCATGTAGTAGATAAAACTGTAACTGGCACTAAGCAAATAAAAGAAGCCAGAAAAGAGAAGCTGTCCAGTTGACTGTGCCAAGGGGGGCCCAGATTAGATACTTGTTTCTGGGTGTTGTCTCAGAATGTTCTGGAAAGAGATCAGTATTTAACTGTTGGGATGAGGAAAAAGGATGTGAGCTCAGCAGCACAAATGGGCTTCACTCAACCTGTTCCTGAACACAATAAAGGCAGGAGGAGAACATCATTTCGTCCTGCCTGTGGGCCTGACAAGAATGCGGTTTTCTCCCGCTCTTAGACCACATCTTCCATCAGTGGCTGTTGGTTCTCTGGCTTTGCGCTAGGACTGAACTATACCATTAGCACTCCCAGGTCTCTGGCTCATGGACTGCAGGTTCAGAGGACTTCCTTTTCCCCTATTGCATTATTCAATTTCAAAATCTTTCCAATTGGTTCTCTTGCTCCAGAGAATCCTTATATAGAAACACATATCACAGAATGGAAAAGCTCAGAATGAGACAGCTAGGTAAGATACAACATGGAAAACAAACAAACAAACAAACAAACAAACTAGGCAAGATGAGAACCTGAAAGTTTCGGTCATGTAGACAAACCTAGAGGTATCTGAGGAAACAAAAGCCTGAGTGTCTCCTTAGACAGAAATGCAGGGTGAAGAAAGGCAGGGGCAAAACCTGGGGAAGGAGCACACGACGACAGGCGGGTGTAAGGGCGGCAGCAGAAGCTGTGCCGTCAAAAGCCAAGGCACTAAAGCTGCACCTCCAAACTGTCCTAAGCTAAAGCACCTTAAAAGTATAACAAGTCAGAAAAAGAATGGCTCATGCTGAGACATTCCCTGGTAAAGACAACATTCTATGAGCATCCAGGTAAAGGGACTAAATCGAGCATAAGATAAAAGAAATTAAATATCAACCACAATGCATTATGGCAGAAAAGACAACAAGGCAACGAGTTTGGCACTCCTCCTGGAAAGAAACGAAGAGTTGGAAAAAGCACACCCATTTCCAAGCAGAAAGACCACAGATAGAAAAGTTGTGTGTGAAGGCAGGAAGCACTCTTCTCATATATGCTTCCCTTATATACTGCTTCAAGAGTGTGCAGTCAACGGCTGACACACAGCTTCAATTCAGGACTCACAGGACTAACAGAGATAGTGGATCGTAGAAGAGACAAACAGGACCATAGGCAGTATCTGAACAAAGAAGGCACTGTTGAAAACCCCCCAGACTTTCAGGCACAGTGGCACCAATCTTTAATCCTAGCATCAAGAGGCTGAGACAAGACAGTCATGAATTCTAGGATAGCCTGAACTACACAGTGAGACTCTGTCTCCAAAAAAATCCAGAACAAAAGCATCCTACTGTAACTCTAGCACTCAGGAGGCCAAGGCATGGGACACAAGTCTGAGGCTAGCTTGCTCCAGGCTAGCCTGGGAGGTAGGCAAAGAAACCCCACTGACTACCTTTCTAATAATACCAACATGAACAGTGCGTGTGTACACGAGCATGTGCACACAGTGCATTTGTGAAGGTCAGAGTTGGTTCTCATCTTACACATTACAGAGGTTTAGGGAATTGAACTCCGGTCACCGGGTGCGCACAGCAAGCTCTCTCCCCCTCTGAGCTATCTCACTACCTCCCACAGGATCACTTTTTACTGAGATTGCTAGTTCACGAGAGACAACTGCTCCCTCAAGGTTGAGCAGCTCTGGAGAGTGGTGACTAGCAGAACTCACAAGACCCAAGCTCACCCCAAAAGCAGAGTATGATGGAGCTGGGACGACTGCACAGTGGCACAGCAGGTAGCTGGTTCTCTGACACTATGACATGGTGCTGCACCTTTACTTGTGTTCACACTTCTTGGAAAACGGCAATTTTAAGTGCTTCTGCAGAGTTTTGGTGTATTTTGCCCACTTAAAAAAAAATGTTTATGTAGCCTGTGGTAGTTCAGTAACCAATTGGTGTCCCATAGTGAGGGGAACAAGGTCTAACAGGAACTCAATGACTGGCTCTTTGACCTCCCCACCCCCCAAGGGAGGAGCAGTCCTGTTAGGCCACAGAGGAGGGCTTCGCAGCCAGTCCTCCTGATAAAACAGGATCAGATGAATGGGGAGGAGGTCCTCCCCAATCAGTAGACTTGGAAAGGGGCACGGTGGAGATGAGGGAGGGAGGGTGGGACTGGGAGGGAATGAGGGATCGGGACACGGCTGGGATACAGAGTTAATAAAATGTAACTGATAAGAAAAAAATAAAATTAAATTAAAAAATAAATAAATAAATAAATGTTTATTTTATGGCAGTAAATGATGAAAACTAATAGTCTGCAAACTATTTTATGAATTGTGACATACTTACTTTTCCCATCAAATGGTCACAAATCCTCCCAGCTCAACTTCAGGTTTAAGTGACTCGCATGGCAATATCATAGTATTTGAGTCAATCAAAATGTGTAACTGTTCTAACATTATGGATTTAGCACAATTCCCAATCTCTCACACAACCAATGTGACAAGAGAAAACAGCTTCACTAAAGCTATCAAAAGCGCATTAAGTACTAAATAAGACTCAGACCCAAAAAAGGACTTCTAAATACATGTAGTTTCTAGGAACAAACGTCTGTCCTCCTCAGGGGATTACACACATCTTAGAACACCAGGTTCGTCTTAGTGGCACTTTTACCTTGTCTTCAGGCAGTCAGTCACAAGCCTTCTTTCAGTTTTTATGCCCACATCCCAGCGAGCCTCTTAGCTGCAGACTAAGAGAGGTGCCTCCCCTCACTAGGAAAAGATGTGGCCATACATAGCACACTTCCTAACTTCAAGATGGGCCACTACAACGTTCCAAATCCTAAGAAATAGACATTGTTACTTCTGCTTGGGACTGTTTTGTCTACTCAGAATCTTTGCTATTTCCACATGAATTCTGAAGGTACTTTTCTAGTTCTGCACAAGTATCACTGGGATTTTGTATTAAATCTATGGATAGCTCTCATTTCCACAGTATGAATTCTGTCACTCCATGCTTTAAGAATATCACTAAAATAGTCAGGAAGTCAGTACCTAAAAACAGGCCTTTCCTACCTGATTCTACTTTACTTCTTATGCTGATTCTAATGAAAATCACAGTTGGGTACATTTTCTTTCTTTCTTACTAATTTATTTTGTGTGCACGTGTGTGGGCACATCTGTGCAGAAAGCAGTTCTCTCCTTCTACCATGTGGGTCCTGGGGACAGGACTCAAATCAGCAGGTTTGGCACCAAGTGTCTCTTCGGGCTATGCCCCCTCACCAGCCCTTGTCATTTTCTGAAGGCAAGGTCTCACTCAATAAACCATACGTTGTATAAATTCTCAAAGAATTAACAAAAATTAATTTTTAAAAAAGTAAACACTGAAATGACAAGTTAGCACAGACGTTCACTCTGTAAACTGCTTCAGAATCTAGTGAAATTAAAAATGCTTAGGAGGCCAAGAAATGACTCAATGGGTAAGGAGCTTCCTGAACAAGCAGGAGGAAACCCTGAGAGCTGGAGTTTTGATTCCCAGCACCCCCATCAGCAGTGTAACACAAATAAATTGAAAAAAAAAAAAAAAAACCCACACCTGATAGGCCTCCACATGCATTCATATTAGCCCTTACCCTCCTTCACCAACCAACGTGTGCTTGCGCATGCGTGCGTACATACACATACACATATACACATACACACACACACACACACACACACACACACACACACACACACACACCCTCCTAAAGGACAGATCCGAGAAATATTTGCTCTTGTAATTAAAGAAAATTCATTTCTCTCAATATCAAAAAGAAGTGGCAGAGAAACAGGAAGCTCTCTATGAAGCTCTTAAAGAAAAGGAGAAACTCTGGGAGAGAGTTGTCAACACCCCCACCCCCACCCCCCAGGAGCAGCCTTGCCAGGCCACAGATAAGGACATTGCAGTCAGTCCTGAAGATACCTGATAGGCTAGGGTCAGAGGGAAGGGGAGGAGGACCTCCCCTATCAGGGGACTTGGAAGGGGGCAGGGAGGAGATGAGGGTGGGAGGGTGGGATTGGGAGGGAAAGAAGGAGGGGCCTACGGCTGGGATACAAGTGAATGACCTGTGATTAAAATAAAAATAAATAAAAAAAAAAAACTTAACGATGTAAAGAAAGAGGGAATAACAGTAAAAAAAGATGAAATGGGGCAAGTAGAGGAGGAAATATGGGAAGGGACAATTAACATTAAAGGCCTTTAAAAAAAACTATCTTCTGTGTCTGTGTGTGTTCCTGAACCCCAGCCCACAGCAAGTACACAGATGATTCCCACTAAAAACAAAATCCAAGGCATGACTAGAGCACTTACCTAGCCTGTGGAGGTCCTGGACTAGAGCCCCACAGGGACAGCAGTCAAAACAAATAACCTGCCATTTCCTCTGCAGCAGACACAACTCCTGAACTCTCCTAGCACACCTAGGGACAGATGTGTGAGGCCCGACTGCCGCCTGGCTGACTTCCCTTCAGCATCTAACTGCAAGGTCTCCCTGAGCCCTCCCACCATTGTAGGGAAAGCAGAACAGCCGATGTCAGAGATTGAGGGATGAGTTCTGTTGGTTTGCACTTAAAAAAAAAAAAAAAATCTGTTGTACAAAGAAACCTATGTTGAAGAGCTTAATGCTCACTGATCTGGTCCAAAACCCCAGAACATGAAGCAATCTGCAAAGCTCCATGTCCCTCTCACTCCATTTAAGACATTTATACCCAACAAAGAAACTTGTTTTTTCTCAGCCTTCTGTCCACCTTCAAATCTACAGTGAGAACGCCTCCCATTTCACCTCTTGGGGCACACCAATGCCCTCAAGACTTCTGGCCTTAAACAAGCCCATGAAAGCAACAGATGGGATTCCCCAAATATGAAACACACAGCATGAGCTCTTTTCATTGGTACGCTTATGAACCTGAAGTGCTTTGTTTTTAACTTATTCTTTGACAATTTCACACATGTATACTATGTATGGCAAATCACTCATACTGACAGTTTTAACAAGTACTTATTTCTTGTGCCTGTAGGAGTCAAACTCAGAAGATAATGTTCACCATTACTTAGGAAAGGAAACAAGAAATCTTTTGCACAAAATGCGTACATACCACAACTACTGGATCAAACAAATGCCTAACTGCTTAGGTCAATTAAATTTTAACAAATGTTAATTATCTGAAAATAGACGTACCTTAATATTCTTTTAGGTGGCAAAATCTAATCTGAATGAACTACTTTGGTCTTACAAAGGAGATGGTTCATTTGATTTACATTTCTGCCTGTTACTCTCTGTTTGAGGCAGAAGACAGCTTGCCATTTATACCCTGTTCATAAGCGGAGCTACCACATAAATGAACACATCACTGGATACAGCAAAACCAGGAAGACGGCAAGAAAAAGTAAGGTTCAGTCATCTCAGGGAAGGGCACACTTACCTAACCTTTAAATTTCTGCTTTCTAGGTCATTTCTTAAGTATTATATTTTCATTATGTACTCATCTGAATGAGAGACCAGTCTGGTTCAATCATTAATTGAAGGCACTCCTGTTTCACAAGACCATGACCAAGAAACCTCCTATTCTCTTCAGCTGCACTGAGACTCAAATATTCACCATGAATCGCTTGGAATTAACTGTACAAACTGCTTACACGGTGGTAGAAGAGCCTTCAACAGTAACTTAGATCCCTTACATTCTCAAGTCATTGCTAGATTACTCTACCCTGCATGGCAACTAATACACTTGTCGCTTTAAATTCATGACTGCCAGCCTAGTGACATATGCTTGCACACGTGATCCCAGCAGGACATAGGTTAAGTCAGAAGAATTAGAAGTTTTAGGCCAGCTCAGACTACACAGTGAGACAATGTTGCAAATAAAATAAAATATAAATTACAGGTATAAAGCAGAACATGGCAGCTGGCTAGGTAGACCCTAGCATCAAACATCTGTGTTCAGCTCCTTAGCTAACAGCAGATCAAGACCTGGAGAGGTTTAGGTTTAATATGTGCTTTCCTCCCACTGCTACTTCCTGCCATCCAATCTCCTCCCATCAAGACAGAGGATGACAATGACTCAAAGGCTTACCAATTGAAGAACATACCTAACACACTTTATCCAGCCAAGGAGGGGGAATGGACAGGGAGGATGACCATGGCCAAAGAGGGGGAATGGACAGGTTGACGGAGACCAAGGAGGGGGAATGGATAGGGAGGATGACCATGATCAATTACTAGGCATTAAGCAGAGGCAAAACAAGAAGTTTAAGGAGTAGTCCTGGGTGCTGGTTATCTAAAAAGGGGCTGAAGCATTGCTTACTTGTGAGATGTCCTCTTCTTCATCATGTTTGCAGACACTCCAGCATGGCCTACAAGAGAGAAGATTTATGGTCAGCAAAAAAGGAAATTAAAAACAAAACCCTGCTTCATAAAACCTGAAAGAGGTCATTATCCACCAACATGTTAGAGCCACATGTTTATTTGATTTCTGAAAAGGAGACTCTGAGCAGAGAAAATGACTCAGTGGCTCTTCACTCCCCGATCAGCCATAAAAACAAACCAGTTACATGCACAAAATTAGTAAGTTATACTCCTGATCATAAAGCAGTAAATGGCGCAGAACTCATCTCGTCCTCCCCCTCATAATGTAAAAAACATAGGAACCATCCCAGCATTCAAGAGGGTTGGGGTGGGATGGACCAGACAGACACCAATAACCAAGTAGATTATAATCAAAACAAATGTTTAGCATGCACGGACATTAAAAGATAAACACATCCAAATAATCCCTAAAATACGGAAATATAAAGAAAACAAGCCAAAGCAATAAAAACGAAACCACCTGAATTGAGAATCTCACTGGATGTGATTAGACTCTGTAGATCAATAAAGTCAACCCACAGAACAGTGATACAAACTCCCCAAACCTGCATACATAGACAGACAGACACACAGACAGACAAGTGAGATCCAGAGAGCAACACCCACAGGCCTAAGACATAAGAGACTAGAACAGTATGAAGGGAAGAGGAGCAGAGAGAACAATGGCCAAAGTGGAGCTTGGATGAAGTCGCAGAAAGGCAGCTGTGTACTACCCTAAGTCACCCCTGAAAGCCACTGGTAATATGCCGCAAGTGCACAACAAACAAAACCAGTAACAAACACATCAGCTGCAGGGGACTTGAGGATCTGATGTCAGAAAGAACTTAAACCAGAAGACAATGGTTCCAGCTTCAATCCAATATTGACAGCCAAAGTATTTTCCAGCCCCAACACAGTGATATTAGATACAAACAGTACAGCTGCACCCAAAAAAAGACCATGATAGACTTATCAAACTTTAGGACAAATAATGCCACCATGGATCACAAAAGATACTTCAAAATGGTATAGTTAATTAACCAAAATGCCACAATGCCCTTAAATATACATAAGCCTAATTACAGAGTACTGAAATCCAGAAAAGGGGTGTATGTGATCACACCTATACATAAATGTTATATATATTTAGTTATAGTTAATAAACTCTCCTCTTGGCAACTGGTGTGGAATGGGAGGGTAATGTGGGATGGGGAACCAGAAAGTGTGCTGACACCTGAGCACTGCAAAGGACAGCTTGAAACCCATGTCACTTTCCTCTGGCCCCTGGGCTAACAACTCACTCAGATGTACTAGCCATATGCTGAGTCATAACATGAGTCTAATAATATCGTTAAAATATCCTGAAATCCTACAAAATGTATTTGCTAACCAGGTCAGCATTAAATTGGGCATAAAACAAAAAAGCTCTCTGAACAGTTAAACAATGGTCTTAAACTTACAGTGTTAAGACACAATCACAGTGAAAAATAAAAATACATACCAGAGCTTAGAGGCTGTAAAACAAGCAGCACTCTTACTCATCAGATGTGCACATTAAATGGCCAGGCATGAAGAATCTAACACAGGGCAGAAGAACGGCTTTCTGGGAGGCAAGTGGGCTGAGACAGGAAGGCTTCTTTCTTCATTATTTGTAAACCGCCTTCTCCTTGGCCTTCTACCAAGTGGAGCATTTAAAACTGTAATACTCACTAAAAGTACTAAGCAGCCACTACAGCTCTCGGTCAGAGACAAAGACGGCATGCTGGGACCTGACTACCACAAGGGCCACCAAGACCCACTGAGGGAAGAACAAAGGTAATGGGGAAAGGGAAGTGTGTGGCAACCACAAGGTAGGCCAGAAGTGGGAGCAGCCACCGGAGAGGTGTCCCGGAACACCTCTGACAAGGTGCCAAGAAGAATCCATTCCAGGTGTGCAGTAACTATAGATACTGCACCAGGTCTTTCCACCCTCCTGCCATCCCACAATATCCCTGCCCTCACCACTCACCCCCAACCCCATGACCACAGCGCAGTGGCTTTGGAAAATGAGCACCTCAGATGCCAGGCCACTATCTCCGCCCTTGAGGCAGCACCTCACTGTACACGCCCTGTCCCGGTGCTGACCTTCTCGCCTCGAGCCCGTTAAGCTGGATAACTGTCCAACCCTAGCTATGGCATGTAATTAGAGCCGCACGGTGAGACTGGGCGCTTGAGGTAAGCGGCACAGCTGCTGAGATGACCCGAGAAATCAGCAGTGACCAAGAGCAACAGTCAAGGACTGACGACTGAGAGGTCACAGAGGAGTCCAAAAGCTTCTAAAAAATTAAACCACAACCAAGACAACCTCTCTAGTTTCTGGCCCATCTTACAAAGAGTTTAAGTTGCTCCTGCTCCTGTGTCCTTATCACAAATACAACACTGAAAAATCTCAACCCTGTTTGTTAGACTGATCAGAGAATGAAGAGTCACACGACAAGCAACTGTCCCTAACTTAGAGAAGAGAAGATGGCAACTCAGACATCCAGACCCCGGAAGCCATGCAGGAGGAACTTGAACTGGTGTTGCTGGAGTTAGTAGAGCCCAGTCAGCCAGTGAGATTGAGGGCACACTTTAAAGGGGCCCACACTTTAGTTTATCTCTGAAGGCTGAAAATCATACATTCACACCCTAGAGTATAGGTTTAGCAAGAGGCTGAGCCAATCACAGAAACAGAGAATGAGCGAATGGGAAGAGTGAGCAACACAACAAAACAGAGCAGTAGGAGAGGAGACAAAATCATTTCAAACAAAGCCAGGCACGGATGCACACCCACAGTCCCACCAGTGGAAGCCCAAGGCCAGCAGTCTACATGCTCAGCTCAGGGCTACCACGGGGAGACTCTTATCTACAAAAGCAGGACTTCATCACACTGCAAACACTGCTCGCTGGTGCCTGTGAGCAAGAGAACCAAGGACATAAGGCCAGCCTGGACAACAAGTTCTGGAACACTAACAACCTCATTTAAACCCTATCACAGAAGTTCTTCAATGTCAAATGCCAAGAAGGTTACGTACACAAGAGTATTCTTTCTCAGCACCAGCACAGCATGTTGGCACATACCTGTGATCCCAACACTGGGGTCAGAGGCAGGAGGATCAACATGTTCAAGACCCTGTGGCCAAAAAGGAAAAAAAAAAAAAATATCAAAGGAAGGAAGGAAGGAAAAGTAAGGCAGGCTGGCTGGCTCATTTTCTAATTTTATAAAACATTCCATAAGATCTTTTTTTTCATTTGGGGAGAGAGGGTTTTAAAACTACACTTTTAAACCAGGTGGTACTGACACATGCCTGTAAGAGTTCCAGCACTTGGGAGGCAGAGGATCTGAGTTCAAGCCTGGTCTACAGAGGGAGTTCCAGGACGGCCAAGGCTACACAGAGAAACTGTCTAAAAAAAATAAAACTGTATTTTTATTCCTGTTGCTTTTAGCCATGTGCCACAAAAACCAAGAGTAGTTCCTGTTCCAGGGGAGGGGTGCAGACTTGGTTTTTAGTTTAGTTTCTGAGACAAGACAGCATGTAGCCCAGGCTGGTCTGGAACTTGCTTTGTAATGGAGTATGTAGAATTCCTGGTCTTTCTGACTCCACTTCAGAGTTCTGGAATTACAGGCTCACGGCCTCTTTCATTTCAGATCCACATCAGTAAACCTGCTACAAATGAGCATTCTAAAAACTTAGTAAGATCCTCCTTCTGCCCAAAACCCACTCAATCTCCTACATCTAACTAAATCCAACATGCTAACATCTCATAAAAATGAAGCCATTATCTTATTATATTCTGTTCCTTGCAATTCACTTGTTAAGTTTACCAGTTACCTATAAATTGCTGGGTTGCACAGAAAACAATGTTTAGCATGGTGGTTCCCTTTTTCAGTAAGTCAAAGCCCTTCTCTCACATGCAGCAAGGTATAAAACATGGAGAAGAGCACACACTGCCCAGGCACTATGTGAAATGCACACCACACTGACACACACAGTGCTGAAATGCTTACCTGCATCAGCTCTGGACCGCTGGCCAGGTGTCTTCCCGAATGGGGTCTTCATTCATCTGTATTTATGTGAGCAGCAGAGCTGCTGGACTAGGGTGAAAATCCAATATTCTCAGATAGGAAGCTTCCCACAGGTTAGTGTTCTTGTTAATCCACCATTCAGGTGTCTTCGTTTACAAGTTCAGAGAAAAGCCATGGAATTCCAAGCACTCTGTAAAATGAGCATCAAGGAGTAAAATGCTTAGTGAGCCTCTAAATATGACAGAAAATTTAATCCTCAGCAAAAAGGCACTGATCCCTGAAGCAACAACATGGTTCCCAGAAAAGGCAACACCTGACAGTGAGGAGAAGCCTGATCAGGTGCAGACCCAGTGGGGAGAGAGGCTATGCAAAGACTGGACAGCATTTTCTGTAGCTATTTCAAGTTGAATTTAATAGACCTTCAAGAGAAACTGATGAGTTACAAACATGGGGTCTTCTGTTTTCCTGTTGTCATGTGTGTATACATTGTTTATGGGCATGCAACATTGATGAAGAGGGATCCCAGGGCAGCCTAGGGTGTCAGCCAGTCTCTGCTGTCCTCAGCTGTACCCGAGCCATGAGCTTTTAGGGATTCTCCTGTCCCCCATCTTTCTGTGGGACAGCTGGGACTACAGATACCATGCTATGTCTGGTTTACGTGGCAAGTACTTTTCACCACTCCCTGGGTCATCTCCCCAACTCTACAAGGAGACTTTTGGAGCAAAATAATGTGCGGTAAAGTTATCAGAAAAAAGCCACACCTATTGCTGACTAATTAGAACTTCATGATTGTGTAATAAGCTAGAATGCTGCAGATCCAGACTTGGCTATCTTTGGTCTCTTTAACTATTCACTGCCCACCTAAGTGTCTGACCTAGCTTCCTTATGACTATCAGGTACAATCTTCCAGGATGTATAGAATGTCTCCATAATGCATCTGAAATCTATAACAGATTTCCCCTCTTTGCTGTAGCTTGTCTACCTGATGTTTCCGCTAATATGCTTGAAAATGTAGTGGCTTATATGACTTTTTGTTGTTGTTCCCAAACCATAAAAATTCCATGAAGCTACTTTTACACTGAAACATGGCATTAAGAATAGCCTGAATCTCTTTTCATAGGCCAGCCACAATAATTAACTCATACTCCCTTTGAAGCAAGGTTACTGTTAATAATAATGCAATATTTCTTCTATACTCCTAAGTAACAATCAGTGAATACAGTCTAATCTCATCCCAACTCCCTTTAAACCATCAAGAAATGCAACTGCCTCCTCAAGACACTGAGTGAGTTGCTGAGTCCTGTTCATGTCTGAACAGATGCCACAGAGTGCTTTGAAAAGTTAGGTAAAGAAGATTTTGAAAATGAATTGATCTTTTTACTGGAACTAATTCATTCAAGTTTTCTAAAGACACAGAGCCTCTTTAAGTTATTTTAGTATGTGGTTAGTTTAGTGACTCAAAACTGTAAAAAATTAAACAAATCTAGTTGTTCCTAGGACAGCAGTTATACTGTTCTCTCCTACCCAGTGTTTCATAGGAAACAGTCACCACATGGAGCTTACAAGCCACTAAAAAAAAAGATCAGGGGACTGGAGCCATGGCTCAGTGACTAAGAGCACTAGCTGCTCTTCCTGGGTTAAATTCACAGTGCCCACATCACATATAGCTCACAGCCATCTGAAACTCCAGTTCCAGCGTATCTGACACCCACTTATAGCCTCCTCCAGCATGTGGTACGAATACATACAGGAAAGCAAAACACCCATATATATGATGAGGAATGGGGAACAGAAACCACCTGACACAGACAGTAGAAAAGATCTTAGAGAGGTTACCTGCTAATGTTCCCTACACACACGCACACACAGGGTTAGGGGGAGGATTTACAATGGAGATTGGACCTTCCTCCCTGGGAGACCAAACAAATGAGCACCTCTAAGGTGAGCCAGCCTCACTTTATCTGCTTCCTGTCACTTGGCACCAGCTCTAGATCTCAAAACCAGCCCAAGCGATAAAGCACCAAAGCACCACTTAGTCTTTAAAGGCCCTGAGGATGTAGCGCCAGAATAGTGGTTCTCAACCTGTGGGTCGTGACCCCTTGGGGTCTGACAGCTCTTTTACAAGGTCTGCATATTAGATGTCCTGCATATCGGGTATTTACATTATGATTCCTAACACCATCAAAATTACAGCTGTGATGTAGCAAGAAAAGTAACTTTATAGTTGGGAGGTCACCACAACATGAAGTATATTAAAGGAAGGCTGAGAACCACTGATACACCATCTGAAACCTCTAACAGATTCTCCCCCACATTGCTGTAGCCTGCCTAATAATCACAAAGCTCTAGGTGTTATCTCTAGGCCTGCATTAAATCAAGTGTGGTGCCACACACCTGTAATCCCAGCCCTGGGAGCTGAACACAGAAGGGTAAGATATCCAAGGTCATTTTTCATGGGAGCAAATCTGAGAGCCAGTCTGGGATACATAAAACCCGCTCCCATCTCCAAAATAATAATAGCTTTATTATAATAAAAAAGTCCTTAAATATGTTAAAGTTTTGCCTGACTCTAGTCCAGACCCAAGCCCCAGTTTATAGCAAACACAGGCAGGTGATGCAGGACCAAGTCAGCCATGGGAGAAAAGAGATAGTGAGAAGTCTGTGTGTGATAAACAGGCCCTACTGTTCAAAAAGTAAATGTCATAGGACAGTATACATACACTTTAAGAGAATGAAAAGACCTAATTAAACTGAGATGGGAAGGCACTACCAAAGCTGTCCTAACACAGCTGAGGAAATTCAAACAGGGATTAAAAGTTGAAGTACTAAGAAACTGCCATTCAACCTCAAATACAAAACCAGAAAATCATGGTAAGTACTCACAACTGACTCATGACTACAAGCTGGTGTCAAATGCCTGTGCTCTAAACATGCACAAAAGTAAAATGGATATGGAAAATTAATGTTCACCAACACTCAAAACTTTTCATGGTAATTAATACAGAGTTGGGGGAAGATTCTTTCTCGAAGTTCATCTTTGTTAAGAATAGCTAATTACCCAAGCTATCACTGGTCTTAAACATGTATCTGAGGAATTTAACTTTCAAACAAGATTATCGTTCCATAATGATCCCAAAGACCCTTCATAAGACGTTAAAGTGATTCAAAAAATGCACTTTACTGAGTGGTCACAGCATGGCAAACACAACTGCACGTACTTTCCATGGACTTTTTCAAGCCCTCCACACAAGCTGCAGACAGCACGCCTGCATCACCTTGGAAACTGAAAAGACCCGCAGAGTACAATAACCTTGACAAGAGCACACAGACCCTGCTGACATAAACGCTCTACTAAACAAGCACACACTCGGGCAGGCCTGGTAGACCCCAGCACTGCAGGTGCTGAATCAGGGCAGAAAGCTCTCCAGGCCAGCCTAGACCATGCAGTGATGCTGCGGGTGGGTGCGCACACCCACAATCTGTAACACGCATTATACTTCGGGGGTCAAGAAATGGGTGTTTCAATTTTCAGACATCGAGCACCATAGTTTGTACCATCCATAATCTGAGGCTAAGGCAGGAAGAGCTCAAGTATTTGGCCAACCCAACCTGGGTCTAAAACGCAGTAATAAGAATGTGTGAAAGGGCATGACAATGACTTCTGCCAGCTGCTATCACCAACACTGTTTATGAGAAGAAACTGGATACTGATGAACCAAAATGTTACCACCAGATCCTCCAGTGGAGAAGTCTACAGGAGTACTAACACCCAAAAACATCACATCAATTCCAGTTTGAGATATCAAGCAGTTAAATGTGTTAAAACATGAAGTGCTGAGAGCCCTTCACTAATGAGAAAACTAAAGGCTACAAGGCATTAGACAGTCTCAGGCTGGTGCTAGTTCCCAGGATGGAAATTGCCAGGATAAGAATCTTACAACTTCCAACCTTTAACCCAAACCTCCAGAGAGGGAAAGGGGCTACAGACTGAGTCAGTCAGTCATTAATGCCCAAGATGTATGCAATCCTGCCTACGTAATGAGGGTTCACTAAAACTCAACTGTCATTTCAGAGTTTCCATGTAGGTGAGTACAGTATTTGAGGCAGGTATTCTAGGGGGCCTTTGTAATAAACCAGAAGTATAGCAAATACACAACTTTCCTGAGGCCCAAGCTACTCTAAGAAACCATTACATTACAAAAGGTACAGCCTATGCAATAGAAACAAAGGTGAAAACCTAGACTTAGAACGTGGCATGAAGTGTGTATGTGTGGTCTTGAGGTTGTGATACTACATCTCCTGCACACAGTGTAAGAACTGGGCAAAACTATAGGTCCAACCACTAGAGTCCACAGAGTACTTGAAGGTGTAAAGGAGAGCACACTCAGTGACAGAAGCACTCTATGCTGAGAGACAGAAAAAAAATAATCTTTTCTCTTCTAGCATGGTGGGAGAAACATATATTATCAAAAACATTTACATGAAAGGGAGAATCTGGCTAAAATCTAAATACACCATCTATTTGGACAAGAAAAAAGAGTTATTTTCTTAGGTATGGCACTCATTTACAAAAAATAACACATTTTTTTAAAAAGTGCCATGATGGCAATGTAAGGAGACTTCCAAAATCTTTGATAGAAGATAAAGCTGCACAGCAAAGCCTTGATGAGTGGACAGCTTGGATCACCCAGGGCATTTTATCTCTTCTCTTGCAGAGTTCCAAACCAGCCAAGGATACAGAGACCATACCTTAAAAACAAATCCAACACAGGCACTAGCTGGGAAACACCTGCTAGTGTTTTACAAAATTGCAAAAGCCTGATGATAACCTAATGACCTAACAGTGTTGGTGTCAGCTTTGTGCTGTGAACTAGAGTCAAAACTAGTCCAGGTGCTGAGTGCTGACCCCAACTAGGGCATCTTTACGATTCCCTCCACAGCTCACAGAATGGAGAACAGAAAATGAAAGAAGGTAGAGCTGGAAGAGGGGTGCTGCAGAACACTTCTAGGCAAAACATGGCTGTTTCCCTCTTGAGAGTCACAGCTGTCTGCACAGGACTGGGTAATCAGTTATGTCAGTGAGGGGAAGGGGTGCCTGAGGCCTACCAAATCTGAGTATCTACAGGCAGTTGGAGAGGGGTTGTTCTTCAATGATACAGCCATTAATAAGTTGCCCATGCTCCTGTAAAT